TGAAAGACAGGGCTCTACAGAATTCAAGACCACATACAGCAAGAAATTGCAGAAGCACTCAAGTCCAATGTCTCTGGTTAGACCCATATTCAATGATACATAAAGAGACAACGAACATTGCAAGGAGCATGTCTCTGTAGAAGATAAAATCTTAGTTAAGCATTACCAGGGTGTGTAGAGGCCTTAGTATAAATGAGGAATACTCTTCTGAGTTCAGAAACATAAAAAACATCATTGCATGTACACGCACTCACCCTTCCTACACACACTGAAACACACGCCCGCTTGCTGGCCTTCACATGTGACACTGATGTATCCTCCAGCCATCCACTTGTGATATTTGAAATACTTGATTCTAAATAGCTTCATCTATTCTCTAATGATTTTCTAACACAAATGCCATTTTAAGAAATTATTTTCTAGCCATGCTGTGATAAGCCTAATTTTCTCCCAGCTACTCTCGTTAAGGCCAGGTAAATAAGAGTGTTTACAAATAGCTCCTGTCTGAACACCATGAGCTGCAGTTCACAATGAATAAGTATCAGAATAAGCAGCAGCAGACCAGCATTGTCTTCCCTCCCACATGGCAGTCCTTCAGGTACCTAATGCTCAATAGTTTTTGAGATCTCATTTTGGATAAGCTGACAGCTCTGGATACTGCGTCAGAGTCAAAATCCAAATTGGCAGGGTCCTTCACTTACTCCCAACCCAGCTACACTGGTTAAAGGGCTCCTGTCTAATCAAATAAATATGTGTCTTTGCTAATTGCAAAGCTGCCTGCCAGTCAATTCACAGCAAATCCCAAAGGGATCTTGAAATTTTGAGGAGACCTCCCTTAGTGATTTTAGCACAATAAGAAAAGGCAACCTGTTCTATTACAATGAAAATATGTTCCTGAAAGATCTGCCCAGGAGTAATTTCTAAGTGAACTGGAGATGGACCTCCAAGAATTGAACCCATTTGTGAAGCTATTTCAGTACAAGCCAGCAGTCATTATTTAATTAAAGCTACAAAATACTTTTTTTTTTTTTTTAACCTTAAATAAGTTCACTAAGCACTGCAGTTTTGGGAAGTGCTCAAATTCTACTAATATTTTTAGGCAAGGTACAAATGTAGGCTAGGTACAAACAGCAAAAACATAGGAACAGTTTATTTAATAGCTTCTAAAGGAAATATTTCATTCTGAAGTGATGTTTATACACTTTTAGAGATTGATCTGTGTTTTTGAAAAAGGGAAGGAAATTAAAACTGTTGAATAATCTGAAAACATCTTATTCTCACCTGAAGAAAAATAATTTCTTTAGCATTGACTCATTCTGATACAAATTTCAATTTTAATCTTTCCTCAAAACACATGAAACCAAACAATCCAAACGGAAAAGCAGGCTCAGTTTAGCATTTACTGGAGGTGACTAATATTTTCTTTAGAAATGAAGAATAAGACTAGTAACACAAACTGTTACACTATTTGGCTTGCTGAACAAGTTTTGTTTTCTAAAAAACAAATTTCATAATACAGAATGGGACATTTATAGACAGTCTGCATTCAGCAGCAGTTCTATAGAAGTCTCTGTAGATTTTGGGCCTTTGCTAGTTAGTTTACAATTAAAAAAGAATCACACTGATGAGCGTTCCCTAAACACGCTGATGATGATCTTAACTCTAGCACAAGGCCAATCTGATCTGCATATGCCACTTTTTTCCTCCCCAGGTCTGCCCTTGGGGTTTCTGTAAGGCAACATGTCGGAACCTTGCACAAGAACCCTTCATCCTCAAGTCACTGTAGAAAAATCAAAATTGGATTCACAATCACTGCTCTGTTTTGAAAAATCCACCTCTTCTGCCATGCTGCTGGGTTCACACGTACCATTGCAGGTAAGCTCTTGAATTGATGGAGAATTGTACCAACTGAGATACAGGACTCCAGATCAAGCCCAAGCACTTCTTGGAGCATTTTAATTAGAGAAGGGCCCATTATCATTAAGTCCTTTTGTTCTATCTCACCCTATCCCATCCCAAAGAGGTGGGGAAAAGTTTTCATATGTAGCTATTCAAACCATGAGGAAAACAGAAGGATTTGAGAGGTAGTCCTATAAAGATAATTCCAATTAAAATAGTAAAAAAAAATTTATACAAATATTATGTCATATTCAGAAACAACATACACATTTTTCCATCAACTAGAAAATTTCAGAAACTCAACACACTATTAGAGATATTGAAGTCTCACCTCTGCTTTCTACTATATGTCAGGCTATGAAGGTCTCTAAAGCCAGAGTAACTCTTGGCTTCAACAAAATACAAACATAAAACCTGTATCATGCAGTAGAAAGTCAAAAACAAAACCTTGCAGATGAAACTGCTCAAATCCCTCAGTTTCAAAGGAATGAAGAACATGTGATTGCAGTAGCTTAAATTTCCTGGTAGCCACTAATTTTAAACAGGAATAAAAATACTCTATATTCTGCCATGTAGCAGGGGGAGAATGTTTGTAAACTTGCTTATACATCAACGAAAACTGAAAACTAAGCAGCATCAAGGTAAAACAAAAGTTGCTGCCAAATGTGTTTTAGGAAAAAAAAAAATTCACATATTTTAAGATAAGAAAAGATTATTACAGTCATCTGCTCTGACCTTTTGAGTCATATAGGCAAAAACACTGCACAGTAATTCCTATCTGAGACTCATAATTTCCGGTTGACTTTTTTTTTTCCACCTTTTTTTTTTAAACAATAAACTAGCTCCACTGTGAGACCATTTACCATTAGATTATGGAACCATACAGTAGAAATCAGTTACAAGTATCTGTATAGTTAATGACTGGCATGCCTGAAAGATGGAAGTTGTCTTTTGTAACTCTGGCCCACATGAGTTCATGGAAGTCAAAATATAACTTCAGCAGAACCAAACGCCTAACTTGCAAATCTAATTCCAATAGTTCTCACTACAAAAAAATCAGTAAGATCAGTTCTTTAGTACAGTTCTGAAGGAAGTAGAAAGTGTCTAACGGCGCACAAAAGTCAAACCTAAGCAATACCTTAAATTGGCAATTTAAGAAGGGAAAATGGAAATAGGCTATTGTGAAATTTAACTCCATGTGTATCTGTGAATACTTTTATCAGAGCAAATATAATCTATACATTACTCTGCTGCTCTCTTTTCTCTTATTCTTTATAAATCAGAAAATTTATTACCCAGAAAATGGTCTCCTGTAGTAGGAAGCTGAACAGGTTTAATGTATAATTTATATATGGAAATCTAGGTGTCAACACTGTGACAAATCATGACAAATATTTTTGCAGTTAGATTTTTCTGCATCTGTCTTCCTCAAAGAATGACCATAATACAGATTATCTCAATCATATAATGTTTTTTTTGGTATGTGGAGCTTAACTGCATTTTTAATTTTTTCTCAGTTTCAAATCAAAGTGAACAAGGCTTTTATCCTGTATGAGAGAAGCTATTTTGATGCCACCCCTCTTAGGAGAGCACCATTCACAGTAAGAATGCTAACATGAAGAAAATAGAAATTAAGCAGAATGAGGTTTTCCAACATCCACTTTGCCATCTGTAAGTGGACATTTTAAACTCTTATTACAGCTGATTAGGGCGTTCTGAACATTCCCCTTTTATTTTAAGGCTACCATTGTAACTTACTCTAGAGTCATTTAATAAAGGGCTTTGCTTCAAGTGAGTCTTAGAAACTAGTTTTGCTTTGAAACATGTTTCTTTAATAATAGTCTTTGAATTGTTAACTATCTAACGGGCACTTTGTAGGGTTTAGAGGCTCTAAACATTTTAAGAAGTCTGAAAATTGAATCTGTGTTGAGGTGCTCCAAGCAAAGCTTTCTTTCATGAATGTGTTAAGATGAGCAATACTTTAAACACTGACTGCAGAGTCACATAAAGCACTTTCTATTAGAGCACTTTGTCATGATCAGCTACCAAAAATTATTAGAAATTTTGAATATTCAAGTTTTAATAGGTTTAAAGATAGGATAAGATCTTTGGTATTTCACAGGGAGCGTTTGACACATCTCTGTGACATTTCCTTGTTGAGTGAGGAATCACTGCCACTACATTTCCAAGATGAAAATGTTTTCTATCTTGAATCAGCCTAAAAACTTCATCCTGTGAATGGGGAAAGAATTGGAAGCCACTTGCTCAGAAAAGAGAGCAAGGAAATAAGTATTTCTGTTTGTTCCAAACCACTAGGACTCAAGACCAGACACCTGGAAATTACATTTGGAGAAGTTCTTTTTTGATGTTTTCTTCTATGATTTTGCTTATTTGCTTTTTAAGTCAACACACACACATTTAACATCCATAACAGCCTGTGAAAGGAGCTCCATAGTTTAACTACATATTGCGTAAAAAACACATTTGTTTTATTTTTTTGGTTGGGGGGGGGCATGCTCTCCCCACTATTATCATGTTCTCTAGACATAATCTTTTGGAGACTATTTACTAGTACAGTTGGAAATTTAGTCTCATGGTATGGCTGTTCTGATGTCACATCTTATTCATAAACAGCCCTTCATAAGAAGCTCAAATTCATGAATTTATTTCCTACTCCAGGCACTTGGAAACATTTAATGCCAAGTCAAGAAACCTCAACAGGACAGGCAAGCCTGCCTTTTGCCTGACTGAGGGGCAGAGGTGTGGATGGTAAATGAAGAAAATAGCCTTAGCAATGGAGGGGAAACTTGGTCATGGTACATCTGTTACCACTGAGAGAATAGAAGCGGTGACTCGTGACTGAAAGAAACACTTCAAAATTATTCCACTTACTCCCACACTAAACTATGCCCCCGGAGAAAGACCCAGCCTTGAGAGACAAGGAGCAGGAACATGGTGCTTTTCCTGTCCCAGACCCTTTTTGCCTATGGGGAGAACTGGCACCCTTCCTTGTAATCTCTTCCAGATGCACGCTGCCCCATAGTCAGTTGCCTGCCCACCATCCCCAGCTTGTAAGTATAGAAGAAGGTCACAAATCTTACTCTGTTTGCACCTTGCTGTCTTTCTCAGCATGGCCTCCTCCATTCGTGCTTTTTCTTCCCTCTCCTTCCAGCGCCTCAGCTGCTCTTCTCTCATTTTGTAGAACAAGATTTGCTTTTGCTCTTCATTCAGCTCTGCCAGGAGCTCAGGGTCAATATACATATCACGCAAAATTTGCTGCAGCATGATGACTTCAAAAAAAAAAAAACCCAAAACCAAAAAACCAGAGATAAATCTGCTTCCAGTTATACTCACTAGAGTGACAAAACCCCACCGATAGCACTCCAGAAAGCAACCTGCAGCAAAGGAGCTCTCCCACACCTGCCTGCCCAGGAGTGGTTTGATTCTTGCTCAGGCCCTCTTCATGCAGGCATATTCTGCTCTGCGTCTTTTACAGAGACGGCGTTCTCTGCGTATCTCATTCTCTAAAGGTAGGGACAGGTGTCAAGTGAAAGGAAGGGGGAGGAACAGACAAGGATACAGGGGGGAAAAAAAAGAAAAGGCCAGGAGACAAAAAGTCACTCCAGTGCTCCTGACTGCAAGTCAGTAAAAATGAGGGATTCTTGATTGAACCCAGCAGCTTTGCTCCCTTGAGCACAAGGAAATTCAACGTAGAGAAAGTCTCAGACTTTCAGCTCAAGTGGTTCCCTTCAGCAGCAATATACTCCCAAGGGTGTAAGTGTTGCCCAGGGGTTTAAAGTGATGTCATGGTTAAAGGTAACACCTACACCAACAATATCTATGTCACTTTGGGAACTGATCTCTTCTGATAAGAGAGGAGAAACGAGTTCGCATATTCTTTCCCAGTCTAGCCTGTTAGCTAGTCTCAACAGGATGTATCATATTAGAGGTCCTATTTATGTGGTGTTGACAAATATTGTCATGCAGCACACTGATTAAAATGCCTTTAAAATTAAAAGCAGATGTAACAAAAGCCACAAGAATCTTGTTATCACTTTATAAATAGTAAATTAATGTTAATTAAACAAGAATAAGTTCTCAGCAGTTCATGTGGACTGTGCAAACCCTGCTGTTAATTGATTTTCCACCTTGTGACTGGAGAAAGTTACAATGTTGTTCTTCAAGCAAACTGTGGCTTTTCACTACTCAGCAGAGTTTTACCAAAATCAGTAGAATAATATATTTTCAGCACCAGGGCCAACAGCCACTTAATTCTGTGGGTAAAAAAACCCACGCAACACACCAAAACCCAAACCCTTCACATTCCCCAGCCAGCTCTCACCAGGCAGGGGCCCAGCTCCTCTGGGGAGCGGTGGCACTTTGTGGGAAGGAGGCCGTCTTCTGAGGAGAAGCAAGATGTGGCTGCTCCGAGTCCTGACCAAACACAGATCCCATTTGCAGGCTGAGCCGCATCCCACTGCATGATGTTTACACAAGAACGGAGAGCAAGAGCAGATCTGCATTTCCTCACAAGAAACCTGCTTTATAGATAGGATCTGTCAAACTCTTGTATGACTTCCATGATCCTCATATTCAAAAACCTATACTCTTAATACATCTATTCATGTAACATCCTTTTGATGTAAGCAAAATACTATCATCTTAATTTAGGCAGAAAATACATCTGATCTAAACTAAAATTCAAGAGATGACACTGTATCACCTGGAAGCATGAATCCAAAGATTATACTTGAATGATGCCTTCATCTGAAACAATTTCAGAATCCATCATGTTTGGGCTTTATAGAGTTCAGTTCATATGCATGCTCCTCTGCAATTCAGCATCTCTGTTATGTACAGATTTTGTCTCCTAAAATAAAATGCTTTTTAAAATTTATTTTTATTTTTTAAGGAATACAGTTCAGCAAGAAAATAACAAGAGTAAGACAGATTTTCTTACTGCTTCTTTCTTCTATTTCACTCGGTCAGGTATAGAAGGGAAAGCG